AATTTGGACTTGTATTATATCACAAAATGAGGTTAGATTCTGTGTCTTATGGATAAATTATATTTTACCTATGTATATATACTAATAAGAATCTATTTAGCTATTATATTTATTCAAATTTCTTATTTAAAAATATATATAAAATATTTTTATAATTGTTTATATAACCTAAATCTTTTTATAAATCCGTGTTAAATGTATTTATAGGCTATAAAACGAGTTATAGATAGAAATGGATTATCCGAGGAAGCAGCAAAATTACGAATTAACATGCAGCCAAGTACCATGGAGCAAGTTAAGGAAGCGAATGTTGTTATATGTACTTCGTGGAGTTATGAAAGAACTCTAGTACAAGTAGAAAGAGCATGGAAAGAACTGATACAAGATTTAGAGATTACAGGCTTTTTGATAAGTAACATTTAATTATTTTGTGATATACAATTTATAATTAGAATATTGATGCACATTGATGAGAGAAATATTGATATAATTGAGCATCAGAGATAAATATTAATAACAAAAGAATACTATTTTTTATTATTTATATAATTGTTACAAAAAAGTAAAAATATTATTTAGCAAATAATATATTGTCACTCGTCAGTTTTTCTTCTTTATCTTCATGCTTTGTTATTAGGGCACTTAGAAACAATCGAAAATCAGCTTTTAATTTGTCACCACTATCGTCCACGTTGCACTTGACATGAGAGACATTAGAAAAACTAGATGCTTAAACACATGCAATAATTAAAAAATTAATTTATATACAGGATTTCTTTATTTTAAATTTGAGAAATAGAAAAATCTAATTTAGAAATCGAAATTTTGAATTAGATTATTATTGAAATACTTACAAATAATTTTCGATACGCTTGATGTAGTATTGTCAGGATCAAAAAAGAATATTACACAACTGTTTGGCCCTAATTTAGCTCCGCTAACAAAATAATCGTAATATTCTTTCAATTTTCTTGAAGAATCCTGCATTTTTGCATTGTATACCAGGATTACGCCGTCTACATCTTTACATATAGCTGGCCAGCAATTTTTAAATCTGTTGAAAATATTTCTACAATTTTTTGTCTTTCTCTAAAAATTCAATTTTGCAAAAGTGTATATGGTGTTATTTACTTGTGATTTCCACTGCAGTCCCACAGCTCGAGATCTCTCGACATGCGTTCATTATTCACTTCAATATCGTTAATTTCAAATTCTAATATTCGAACACCTTGAGTTGGACGATAATCATATGGGATTTCTGTAGCCTCTGCCAGAAAATTCGCTATTGTGGTCTTTCCACTCTAAATAAATATATATGTATGTACATGAGTTGAAAAATCCTCTACTATTTTGCAATTTTCGCAATAGTTAACAAGATGTTAATTTCACAATAGTTAATAAGATGTTAATTACAAAAAATCACCGAATATTGGTTTTCAATAATTTTTTACTCGAATACTATCAACTTTACAGAAAAGTAACAAGTGATAACAATTGTTTATTTTTTTCTCATAGAGCTCTAAAAATTTTACAAATTGATGGATAATCTTACCTCAGTTGGTCCTATCATTACTAATTTTAATGTGTGCATTATTTGACAATAGTAATTGCAAGTATATATTAACATTCCATTGTACCTGATGAATATGTACAACAATACAGAATGCATTATTGTTTGGCAATTGTTACTATAACAACCGTTGCCTAGGTATACATATACACAACTTTATTGAGAAAGCAATGAAGACATTACATGATTTAAATTGAAATTAAATCACATACAAAATGCATTAAATATATGGCAAAAATAATTTTAAAATTTATATATAAGTAAAAGTAAAAATTTTATATATATATATATATATTAGGTGTTTGAATTAATTCTTGCTGTTGACCGGGAAAGGTCAGTATTTGTGCTATTTCAACATGACCGAAAGTGACTGCTGATGTATATCTGATGAAAGTACTGTCAATAGGCTTTAATAATTAATATATAACATTTGATAGGAGAGAGAGAGAGAGAGAGACGCAAAGAATACAATTTTTTATCGCATTAAAAATGTCGGTTTCGTACCAAAAAAAGAGCATTTGCGGGAAGCATTACTTTTCTGTTTTAATCTCAAGAAATCTGCTGCTGAAAGTCATCGTTTGCTAGTGGAGGCTTTTGGGAAACATGCTTTATCTGAAACAACTTGCAGAGATTGATTTAGAAGATTTCAAAAACAACGATTTTGACGGGAATGACAAAGAGCGCCCTAGTCAGCCGAAAAAGTTTGAAGATGACGAATTGGAGGCATTATTTCAAGAAGGTTTATGTCAGACGCTCAAAGAGTTGTCGGAAACATTAAATGTCGATGAGTTAACCGTTAGCAAACGTTTAAAAGTAATGGGAATGATCCAGAAGCTAGGAAACTGGGTCTCACATGAATTAAAAGAGACATTGCGAAACGTTTAGTCATTTGTGAATTGCTGTTTCAAAGACAAAAACAGGAGTCGTTTTTGCATCGAATTGTGACTGGCGATGAAAAACGGATTTGTTACAATTCTATGCGCAAGAAATCATGGGTGCATCTCAGCGAACCATCAACATCAACGCTAAAACAGGATATTCATGGAAAGGTCATGCTGTGCATTTGATGGGATCAAGTCGGTTTAGTGTACTATGATTTATGAATGATTAATCAATTTTTAACACAAAATAGAATTTATGTGTATATATATATATATGTTTATAACAAATTATTGAAGACAAATGCGAATTGTTCCTTAATTTACATTATATGTAATTTATTTTGGTACAACGTTTTGCAAATATAGTATTTACTTCAACATAATTAAATATTCCAAAATGTGTAAATTATGTACAAAAAATGAATATACGCTATTTGTAAAGTTATGATACTTTATTGAATACATTAAATGTTTAATACATTCGTTACAATACTGTTTTCTTAACAGTATATTTAACACTATGTAATGCAGCCATAGTAATTATGTAAACATTATTATTGCAATAATTAACACATGATTATAATAAAAATTGTAATTTGATTATAGTTATTTGTTTATTAAATTGTGAAGTACACTTTGCTATCGTGATGTAAATTACTTGCAGTAAAATTTTTCTTCAAAATTCTAAATGAAATTATATAAAGATATGTTTACTAAAAAATACTTTAAATATGAGCTAATAATTCTAACATGTATTTTATTACCCATTGCACCAACACATACCATTCATCATATTTGTATGACTGATGTTAAATAATTTAATGTCCAATTTCTTATTATTTTTTCCGTAAACATTTCGAATATTATTAAGTAGTGCATCAAATGTAAATTTTTTATAATAATCATATTAATTATATATATATATTTTTGTATAAACAACTATATATTTAATTGTATATAATTCAGACCTGTCTAAAACTTAGCTTGCGAGCTAAACGCTTTTCCTATATCGTCTGGAATGAAACGGAAAGGAAATAAAAAAACTAGACGCTAGAGCTCTGTCCAATGACTAGCTCTAGCGTGTCTATCTTTTTTTAACTTCTATCTGTTTCGTTCAACGAAATGTTGGAGGGGGGAGGGAGAGAGAGAGAAAAAGAGAAGATTGAGCTCTCACGAGCCAAGTTTTGGACAGGTCTGAAATCATGTATTATATAATTGTATATTTAATTGTTTAAGAAAAATATATATTCTTTAACAAAAAATTTCATAGGTCTAAATGTTGGACTAGTTTTCTCGACAACAATGACAGATACAGCTCGACGTGTAAGATTTTTCTCGTAAGTGTTGTCAAGAGAAATCAAGATAGGGTAAATATTTACTGTAGGGGATCCAGCTCCAATAACCTTGACTTTGATATGTATTGTCAAGGTCATGACCCTGAGTGACCTCCGACAGGTTTTAGTTGGCGAATTTTTGAAATCGCAACAAAATCATAAATTTTCTGTTTAAAAGTAAATTCCTACTTTAAAAACAAAAATTATGAGAAATTAATGCTTTCAAAGATAATTTTTCTTTTTAAAGCAGGAAATAAATGCCTACTTTAAAAACAAAAATTGGAAAATTAATATTTTCGAAGAAAATATTTGTTTTTAAAGCAGAAAAATTTATTTCTATGATGGTATAAATATTTGTTTTCATTCTCATTTCACCTTGTGGATAGCGAATATTCGAATATCAATATCATGATCATTTAAATAAATTTTTTTATATAAAGGCTAAGTTCTATCCTATCAATGATAATGTTATAATAAATGATGATGAATAAATATTTCTGTTATCAACCTTGTTTTGCGTGAAAAGTTCCTAGGTATGTGGAGTGGACCTTGCTTCGCGTTATAAAGCGTATGCATGGGTGCATATGGTTTTATGATTTATAGCAGTTATAGCAGAAATGAGACGTCATTTTTTTAAACTTCTTTTGTTGATAACTTTTTAACGAAGAGCGAGCGCCAACTAAAACCTGTCGGAGGTCATTTAGGGTCATAACCTTGACAATATATGTCAAGGTTAAGGTCATCGGAGCTGGGTCCCCTAAAGTAAATGTTTGCCCAAGATAGTTCTGTGGCATTTTGCCATATCTATTACAATTTTCAAGATAATGATCCTTTTTGTCTAGATTCATGCATAATTATTAAAAATTTATTTAATCATTTTTATGTATAAATATTTAATTTTTCGCATATATAAATCATTTGTTACATAGTATTTTCCTGAAAACTAAATTTTAGGTATACAGAGAAAATAATATCGCAAGAAATTAGATGTAAATTTAATTAAGTCTTTTTTAATCATGTGACTCAATATGTATATTTATATTTTGATAGATGACAAAACCATATAATAACTTTCATTACACTTATTATATTTAGGAAGGTAAATTGCAAAGTATTACGCCAAAAAATTCAAAATTGTTAGCATGGGTAAATAATACAAATAGCACTGTTATCAAATCACTAGAACAATTATTGATATTTTATGAAAGATCAAATAAAAAAACCTGTGTATATAACACACATTACATTTTGAAAAGTATATTGAAATGTAAGATATTTACTTTAACCAATTGCCATTAAATCCTGCTTATTAACATCTTCTGGATAAGTTAAGTTATATAATGCCAGTAATGCTGCTTTAGCTGCTGCTTTCTTTGCATCTTTTTTGTTTTTAGCTGGAATAAATATAAAAATTGTTATTTATATACATTAATGATAGCAAAAATAGTTCATAATAATTCGTAGAATATATAGATACCTGTTCCGGAATATTCAATTCCACAAATTTCAACAGCTAGAGTAAACATTGTATTCGGTGGGTTACCAACACGGCTGAGCTCTGCATATGTTAGTCCAGGTCTCATTTGATTCAACAACATAACTGGATGTATATTAGTAGGATTGGGTGGAAGTTCTTTTTGAGTAGAAGTTTTAATATTAGGACTTTCTTTCTTAATTCCTTTTGCATTTGGTAAACCAGGTCGTGGGACTGGAACTGATGTTCCTTGATTATGCCATTCAAGAAAGAGTTTATAAAGTGCAAAACTGGCCAATGAGCTCCATGGAATCTCATCTTCAGAATTTGTATCCATCACTGTGCTATCATCATTATTTTCTTCTTTTATTTCATCCATAGATGCATTAATAGTTTGTCCATCTGATTCAGCATCTAGACGCGCTTTCATAGATGCTGCTGTCATTTTTTCAAGTAGTAAAGCTTTTAATGCATTTTCAGCTGCATTTTGGCGAGCAAGTGGTTTAGATAATCCTTGCCCAACGTAAGTTTTACCATCGAGCTATAAATAAATATTATTAAAGTATTTTAAAGATGAAATTTAATATTGTATTACATGTTAAGCATCATATTATATGTTAAGTAACATCTCTCTTTGTGTGTGTGTGTGTGTGTGTGTGTAAGAAAAAAAATCTGAAGAAAATTTAAATAATTAAAATAAAATAATTACCTCAGCATGAACAAGATAAAGCGAGTTAGGCATGGGTCCTTGTGTTTCAGGGAATGTAAATTGGACTCCAGCTTTCATTTCATTTAATACCATGATTGCATTTTTGGGTTGTAGAGTTTTCCTTAGACGTTGGTTCATACGAAGACGTTTTAATTTTTTATTTACTTTAACTATAAAAATCATTATATTAATAATATACGTACATATAATATATAATATAAATTAAAATTTAATTTACATATCAGTAGACAACTTCACATTGATTACAGGAGTTTACGCTCAAGTCCAATTGAGTCAAGATCATTCAATGCTCCTGAATCTTCAAATTTGCGCAGTGAAATGTCATCACAAATATTTAATCTCATAGGACAGAGTGGGGCTGTCAATTTCAACTTTAAAATAATACAAAAATCTACGATAACAAACAATATCTCTTTGTTGTGATGTGCTTATAATTACATTATACAATCACAATTGCTCCTTGAGAGCATAAGCACATGTGCTGTTCAGAAACATAAACGCGAGAAATTGACGAAAAAACCTCGCTCTATTCTATTATAAATATTGCTGCAATTCTCATCCTTTTAATCATAAATTTTGATTTATTTATTCTAAAGCTGATTCTACATTATTTACATCAGAATGTCGCAAGCGTATCGCAAACGTTGCGGTCCAGAGTCGAGCTAGCTTGACGTTGATTGGACCGCTTGCGACGCTACGATGCGACTAATGTAGAATCAGCATTATAGTTACGCTTTGTAAGATTTTTTTTAATATTATAGAACTTTACAATTAAATATTTATGTATAATATGTATCATAAAAAGTTATCAAAATTATTGAAACTTTATGTGTGTTAATTACTTGCATTAGAACATTATAAAAGGATTACACATCTTTGTTATATATTATACTTTTATATTATTGTTCCAAATATTCAAATTCTAAAGAGATCACAGAGATGTACAAAATAGTGAATTTCGATTTTATTTGTAAGTACTTACATCCAGGTATCTTCCTTCGCCATCTCGGTTGGACATCTTGCATATCAACATCCATGTTCTCAGACTTGTCATCCGTCTCAGAATTATTATTAGATGCGTTTGGAGCAATCAAAGAAGGCTGAGAAACAGCAGTTTGTCCAGTGGATTGTGCACCTGCTGTAGTATGTTTTAAAATCGGTTTCAATCGCTGCGGCAATGGAAGTGGATTCGACGCTTGTTGCTGCTGCTGCTGTGATTGCTGTTGCATAACTTGTTGGTTCATTTGCTGTGGTGATGCTTGTTGCTGCTGCTGTAGTTTCTGCTGCTGCTGCTGCTGTTGTTGCTGCTGCTGCTGCTGCTGTTGCATTTGTAACTTTTGCTGCGGTCCTTGTTGCTGTTGTAATTGTGGTGGGGGCTTTTGAAGTTGTTTTAGTTGTTGTGTAGGTGCTATAGTTGGTACAGGCCGTGTTGATGCAGCTGCTGCCATTTGCGTTGGTTGTTGTTGCTGTTGCTGTTGCTGCTGTGATTTGAATCCTTGTGAGTTTTGTACGTTGTCTTGTTTATAATTGCTTTGTTGAATGGACGAAGATTGCGATGATTGGTAACTTCCTTGTGTATTATACTGTAAAACATAGGGTGGGCCGCCGCTACACAAGGAACCTCTACGGTTGTGCTACCCCACCAAGGTCTAGTATCGTATGTTAAAATAATTAAATGCTACCCCTATAGCTCATACCAACCATTACCTTTACTCTCTGTGGCCAACGTCTCTTTACTCATGACTGAGCTAAGTTCGTGGAATTAAAGATATGCTGTGTTAATAAACAGCATTTTTTTATATAGTAGATATTTATAGAAAAGAAAAAAGAAAATTATGTTTTTTTACTTAGAATACATGTTGAAAAATAAAAAGAGATCAACAAAATATCATTATATTGTGGACCTTAATTTCTAACTAAGAAATTATGTTGTGGATCTTAATGTAAATATTATAAATTAAAAGATCCATGTGATCTCTTATTCAATTTAAACCAAATGTCTAGGAATCAAACATTTAATGCAGTAAGTAAAATGTTTATAATAATACAGCATTTTATGAGAATGAAATTTGCTTAGGCACGAGTTCAGCACGAACTACCAAGAAAATGGCCTACGGTAGGGTATGCTATGTGGGTAACCGACGACCTAGTCTTTGGTCGAATGCACCTCCTCGGTATTGTTGTATAGCTACTAGTACCTGCGTTGCAGGGAAAGGGACAGTAGGGACCACTAATTAGTACATGCAATTGGAAATCTTATCGACAGCATATGGAATTTGAATTATGTATAGAAACAAGCATGTTATTGTACTTTTCAATCTCACTCGCAATCAATATTTTAAATACTCAAAAATGCTTGTTATTTGTACAATATACTAAATTCAAATATATAAACTATTTGGCATATATTTAATTCTTAATATATTTAAATCTCAATATATTTAATTCTTTTTATTTTTTTAAATAAATTAAAATTTATATTAAATATGAATATTTATTTTTATATAGATAGATTTATAGCAATAATATTGTAAAATAAAAATTAATTTTTTGGAAGTATTTATATTGAAGAATAATAATGAATGTAATGCTAAACAAAATTATAATAGAAAAGTCAATTTTATAACATAATAAATAAATATCATGTCAAATGATAGTAAATATTATTTGAATGGTTAAGCCATAATAAAATTTTAAATTAATATTTGTTCTTTACATTAGTATAGAATTGTAATACGGAATATTTTTTGTTTCTACAGGCTAAGAGGTATATTTGATCTCAGTGCTACGAGTGCCTTAGCACCGAGACACTACAGTGTCTCCTAATACAATCAATTATACGCATATATCAATAAAATAATCTAAATTCCAACCGACAAATAATTTGAGCTTTTATATAAGAGCTTGTAAGAATTATTAAATCAATTTTTAATTATAAAAAAATTATGATAAGATCTGTTCTCAAATAAAATTTATACAAAAGATTGAATAATTTAACTCTCAAGTATAGATTATCTGATGTGAGAAGAGCATTATTAATCATATTTTAATATTCTCTTGAATTATTTGTTTTAGGCTCGAGGTATGTTTTAAGCTCGAGGCTTGTTCGATTCGAAGGTATGGATGTATGCATGTAAGTATGAATCATGGATGTATGCTCGGCTCACAATAAGTTTGGCTCAATAATTCATACACATCTTAATGTACTCTATATATTACTACATACAGTATATTATAAATATATATATAATAATAAAATAAATACACAAGTATTGAGGTGAAATTTGAATCTATTGAGATGTAAGATGAAAAAAAAAATTTGAAGAAACATAAAGTGTTTATATCTCTTGCATTAGTAAATATATTTATACCTATAAGAATTAATTATGTATAATATTTTTAAAACTTTCTTTCCATATATTTTCGAGAGTTTCCAAAGCATCCAAGATTTTACCCCAATGTAACGAGAAATAATTTTATAAATGTGTGATAGTGCCTATATCCCTATTTTTTCAAAAACGGCTGCGTTTACAATAGTAAAATAATTTTAAATCAAAATTATCGTATTTGGCTTGCATTAACTCTTAGTTTGCATGATTTCCTGATCTTTTACTACACATGATGAGTTGTTTGTTTCCCAAATTAATTTTCATCATTTTAACAAATATGAAAAAATTATTTATGCTCACTTCTACTAATATAGATTAACTTTAATTAGTTTTTTATCTTTTTCTAGTTCTGAATTTAAAGAGGATGTTAAAGTTAATCTACATTGGTGGAAATAAACATTGATAATTCTTAATATACTTTAACATTTTTAGAAAACATTTGTAAGGTTGTATATTTAAAAACATTGTATATAAATGTTATCAGAGAGGAAACACGGTAGTGTCTCAGCACTAAGCCAAGCGCAGCAACACTACCGTGTTCCTTTACGCAAAACCGCAAGTTGCGGGAGATCGAGATTATTGGATCTCAATAATGACTGATAACTAATTACTTGATGTTTCTGGTTTTTCAAAGAAATATATAGTATGTGTGAATCTAATCATACGTACTAAGAGCAAACTTGCTCATCTTTACTTATCTACAGATTTGTTCGTGTCGCATGCTCCAACATGCTTCTATTCATTCTAATGAACATGTTTGAATACGTAGGAGAATGTTGTGCATATGACACAAAAAAAGTCTTAATTATTATGAGTGTGATCCACTTAACGCTGTAAATGCTTTGTAGACCAATCAGAAGAAAGAATTTTACGAATTGACAGATCAAAGAATGCTTCAAAGCATTTGCAGCATAAAGTGGTTATAGGCTTACACTCTATAATTATATGTGAAAATATAGTCATGAATATTATCATAAGATAAAAATAAGAAAAAAAGAGAAAACTTACAGGCATTGTATAAGATCCTTGGCCTCCCTGGTTTCCTTGACTTCCCTGACCTTGAGAGTTATTTGTATTTCGTCCTGCAATACCAAATTACTTATTAATACCAAATTACTTACAAAAGTGTAAGAATACTTCGAATCACAAGAATTTCGTTCAATAAATTCTCAGTAAAAAAAAGAAAAAGTTTTCATGCCCGGATATTCGTATTGACTGAAGCGCACTCAAAAATTGCACGGCCATTCACGATCAAGCATATTCGGTGAATCACGTCGCGCCATGTTCTCAACGAGCGCTAACGAGAAAGCTCACGGAAGACCGCCATCTTCGCACTAACCGGCGTATGCGGTATTGATTTTTTTCCCTTTGCAAGGAATCACTTTCGCCTATTGCGTTTCGCCGACAGGATGCGACATAATGCGATATGCGATGATCTATAAGTCAAAATTTTCAATTGATTGGAAAATTCATACCGTTACCGTAATTCTGGCTTTGTCTGCTTCGTGTGTACATCTTGGAAGCGATAAACGCTACGCGGAACACCCAGGATCACCCTCGATTAAAAAACTCCGTTCAGTTGAAGATGTGAAAAACAAAATCGGTGTAAAGAAAATAGGTTACGAGTCAACACGGTTATGTTATACAGCCGTCTGACGACTTTGTTCGTATGTGATATTCCAACAAATATCACTTCATACCCGTCACGCCGCACTGCCGTAATGTCGTAGTTCGCTCTTGCTAAGTTGCTACCGTGTCATGTAGGAAGGGGAAATGACGTTGGTCTTTTGGAATATCGGAAGCATTGCACACATAATGCGGTAACGTTTGCCGCGCGGCGGAAGTTGGCGCGATAGCCAATCAACGTCTCGCTTGCTCGGAAGTAATATGGCTCCTGCACACTGGACGTGGAAACGCTTGCCGCGCGGCAAAATGCGATGCGGTAACCAATGAACATGTTAAGAGCTGTAAATTTATTGGAGCGTCGTATTTTGCCGCGCGGTAAGCGTTTCCGCGTCCAG